ATAACAGGCATATGCAATATCCTGAGAATCTTCTCCTTTCATTTTTTTCAAATTAATATTCTTGGGCCGTGCAGCTATGAAGAAGCTCAAAAATGAACATGTATTATCCACTTTTAGAAGAGAACCAGAAGGAGTACATACTGTGGGCTTTCTAGTGATCAATGAGAAAACAGCTAACATAATTCCACAACTGTGTCTGCACTCACAGCATATCTCAATACTTCAGGTGTTCCATTCCCTTCCACAATCCTATCCTCCTACAGTGATTATTTTCCAGGTTCTATAAACAGAATGGCTTTAAAATGGGAATGAATAAAAGAAAACCAGCTAAACATAAACTATAACTTGACTGCTGTGCATTATTCTGGCTGAATATTTTTATATGTTTTTATTGAAGAATGTAGAGTTGCTTACTCTATACAAATCTAGACCCAGAAATCTGGACTCATTTCTACAGGTGCCTGAAACAATGCTGTTTCAGAGATATTTTGCCAAAAGGACAATGCATTGCTATTTCCAAGAATTGTAGCAGAAGATCTCATGCAATCAAGACTTATCCAAGAGCTGTGTTTTAAAGGGACACAAATATCACTAGGTTTCTATATTAACATGTAAGGAAAATATTGCATCTGGAGACTCTAACACCATGAGGTATTGTACATCCAGGAAGCAAAGTTTAATGTTCAAATTTGAAGTTTTTCAATTTGTAAATTAAGGGATGTATTATTAGTGAGAAAAAGTGCAAGAAAACTACTGTGTGGATTGTGAAAAACAACAGATTTTTAAAAAAAGAAATAGATGTATAACAAGACTTCCAGATACATAACCTATGCTCTGGACAAGACATTGCTGTCACAATAAATACAGACAAAAAAGAATGATTTTCAACTGGAAAGGTATCAGACAAGGGCGCATTTTATCTCCTTATCTATAGGCAGGAAGCATTAGCAGAGGCCTTTCTCTCAGTCCCACCACCCTCACAGTTGTGTCTGATGGGGACACAGGAAGGCTTCTCTGTTGCTGCTCCCGGACACTGGAACTCCCTCTCACAGGAGGCCAGACTGGTCCCATCTTTGCTCTCCTTCCACAAGCAGGCAAAGACCTTTCTCTTCAGGTAAGCCTTCCCTCAATAACTAACAACCTGTGTGTGATTTTTGGATGGTACATTATTGCTTTGACTGGATTTTTAGTACTACTTGTGCTTTACATTTTTGTACTTTCCATTTCTCAGAGTGGCATTCGGTTGGTGTTTTTTTAAAAATATTTGTATATTCATTGTTCTTAGCTTTAATATTGCCAATGATGTAAGCTGACGTTTTATGCTCATTGCTCTTAACTTTATATATTGTCTTTTAATGATGTTAATTATCATTGTATACGAATTGTTTTCAACTTTAAATATGTCTTTCAATGTTGTAAGCCACCTGGGGTCATTTTCAAGGAGAAAGGCGGGGTATAATTAATTAATTACCATATTAAAACATCAATGGAGAATAATTAAGGAAGAAACTGCAAAAGCAGGATTATAGCTCAATACTAAGTAAGGAAACACCATGACCACAAAAGAATCACAAAACTGCAATGTTGACAGTTAATCTTTAATGATTTGGTTTATTTTGGTGGAAGCATCAATCCAAAGAAATCAGAAGACTGAGACTTGGAGCGGAAACTATGAAGGAACTAGAAAAGATCCTCAAGTTTTTCTGGTGCCTCAATTTACAATGGTGCCTCAATTTACAAGCATCCCGACTTACGACCAGCTCCGGCCACAAAATTTTGCTTTTACTTGCGACCAGAGCTTCGAGTTACAACTGAAAAAAAGGTGGGGAAAAAGACAGAAAATTCAAATGTACTAGCCGTTGGTCAGCGAAGAGGCTGCTTCTTTGTAGCTCTTTTGACCCAATGGTTAGAGAGAGTGCGTCCAAGGAGGCTTCGGACTGCCTGGTGCTGCTTTCTGCTTCTGAGTGAGTACATACAGGTTTTTGCAGGATGTGGTTGGGCTGGGGGGGAAGTTATGTTTCTGTGCTGATGTTTTATTTTTTCAGCCCCAACGCATTCCAATGGGGCTTGCTGTGTTGTTTATTTTTGGTTGTCTTTTTTCAAGCCCCAGAGCGTTCCGCTGGGGCTTGCTGTGTTATTTATTTTTGGTTACAGTGGTGCCTCAACTTACATCCCTGCTTATGACCATTTCGAGTTATGACCAGCTCTGACTGCAAAATTTTGCTTCTACTTGCAACCGAAGCTTCCAGTTACAAACAGAAAAAGGCAGGGGGGGAGGAGGGAAATTCAAATTTCTAACTGTACGTCGCGACAAGGCTGCTTCTTTGTAACTCTTTCGCCCCAGCAGTTAGAGTGTGTGCTCGTTGGAAGCTTGGGATTGCCTCCTTCTGCTTCTGAGAGTGTGCGTGTGTGTTTGCAGGGAGGATTCTGGCTTCCTTGTAAGGTAAGGTGCTGTTTTCTGCTTTTTAAAAACTGTTCTGGGTGTTTTTGTGGCATGGTTTTGAGCTAGGGGAGTTATGTTTCTGTGCTGTGATTGGTCTTGGGGGGTTTGTTTGTATTTTGGTTTTTTCTCCCCATTTCTGATGGGTCTTGGGGGTGTTGTTGCTTTTTGGGGGGGTTCCCCATTTCCGATGGGTCCTGCATGTTTCCCTTGCTTTTTCCTTTGTTTTCTTTGCATTTCCGACCTGCTCCCTTTGTTCTCTGTGCATTTCCGATCTGCTCTATTTGTTTTCTGTGCATTTCCAATTGGTCTTGCACTCTTGATTGCTTTTCTCCCCACCCCCTCGGCCAGAAGGGATTAATCGCATTTCCAATGAGTTGCAGTGATTTTTTTTGTGATTTTTTTCCCTTCGGTCAGAACAGATTAATTGCATTTCAATGCATTCCTATAGGAAAGGGTGCTTCAACTTACAATCATCTTCTGGAACGGATTATGGTCGTAAGTGGAGGCACCACTGTATTTTTTTTTCAGCCCCAGTGCGTTCCGATGGGGCTTGTCGTGTTGTTTATTTTTGGTTATATATATTTTTTCAGCCCCAGCATGGTCCTATGGGGCTTGCTGTGTAGTGTTTTTTTTTCAGCCCCGACGTGTTCCGATGGGGCTTGCCGTGTTGTGGTTCTTATTTATTTATTTATAAATCTGGTAAAAAAAAATTTAGCCGGAACAGATTAATTGCATTCAAAAGCATTTCTATGGGAAATGGTGCTTCAACTTACAACCACAGCGCGTGCCAGTGATCCTACTGCTTCCTGCCTGTCCAACCCTTCCCGGGAAGAGGTGGGCCAGGCTGGATCGCTGCTGCTCATCTGCAGAACTTCTGCCTTCTGGAGCCTCCTGTTGGAGCCTTGCTCCCACCCTTGTGATGGCGGCACGGTCACCCACCCATGCTGAAGTGAGGCTGGGCCGCCACTGCCCCGAAGAAGGAAGGAAGGACCGATGGGCGGACAGACAGGCAAGCAAGCGACACAGGTGCGGAAGACAGAGATAAGCCCCATCCTTGTGTTCCCCCCTATGTCACCGTCCCTGGAGGAGCCCGGTGCACCCCCGCCCCGTTGCCCTGGGACCCCTGGCAGAGTGGGAAGAGGAGGCGAGGGGGAATCCCTGCATGCCAGCCTGATCCTGCGCCCACCTCCCATTCAGCGCCGTCGCCTCCCTGCTCCGCTCCACTCCCCCCGGGCAGTCCTTCCACCCGCAGGCCGCGCCATGTCGGCCCTTCCAGGAGAGAGCCCAGCTCGGATAGGGAGAGGTGGCAGCAGCAGCAGCAGCCCCCCCCTTCAGAATTTGGAGGGTGTTCCATCCTCGGCTCCCCCCCCATGTTGCTGTCCCTGGGAAGAAGAAGAGCAGCCAGGTGAAGCCTGCCCCATTGCCCTGGGACCCCTGGCGGATGGGAAGAGGAGGCGAGGGGGAAACCACACGTGTCAGGCCTGATTCAGTGCCCCCGTCCCTTCACACCCCGATTCACAGATGCCAGCGGCGGCAGCCCCCCCACCCCGGTCCTTGGAAGAATGGTCTTCAACAAAACCGGTCCCTGCCGTTAAAAAGGTTGGGGACCACTGCAGTAAAGGACTAGAGGAAAGGCAAAAACTGCCAAAACATCTAGACAAGACATAAAAACCAGCAATGAATGATCCATCTGTCCTATTAGGACCACCTACTTCACTTTGGACAGAGTTATATTACTCTCTAAAGGAGAAGGGGGAACCTGTAGCTCTCCAAATGTTGTTGGAAAAAAAATCTCATCACTTTCTTTCTTTCTTTCTTTCTTTCTTTCTTTCTTTCTTTCTTTCTTTCTTTCTTTCTTTCTGTCTGTCTGTCTGTCTGTCTGTCTGTCTGTCCTTCTTTCCTTCTTTCTTGTCAGTCATTTCCTCTAGCACTTTTAAAAGCAGAAGCATTCTACAATTTTAATTTTTTTAGTCTCCACAATGACATTGTGAAGCTATAAATCCTACTACTAATTTCAAAAACGAGGGATTATTTTCCAAAACCAGCAGTTAATCCCATGACCAAGCTGAAATCTGAATTCTCTAATTGAGGTCTTGCAATGGCAATTAATCAGGATCTCTCTCTGTCTCCCACTTCCCACCTCTCTCATACACATGTACCTCAAAATGCTTTTATGACAAGTCTGACCAACCACAAATTCAACAATTTATTGGGCCATCTTGGGTCTGTAACATTATGCCCACATGTATTACAACAGTGATTCTCAAACTGGGGTTCCCAGATGTTATCCAACTGCAATTACCAGAAACCTTCACCACTTGTTGGGCTGGACAGGATTTATGGGAGATGCAATCCAAGAACAGCTAGGGACCCAAGTTTGAGAACCACTATTCTACGAGAATAGGAACCACCATTCAGAAAAGGAATGAGTTAAGATGATACAGGTTTCAAATGTTTAGACACCAGGTCTACCACCATCACCTCTCCCACCACCAGCCCTCCAGAAGGTTTCATGCAGAAACTCTTAGGGACAGACAAACAGTAAGCTCACAGTTACCTGGGGATGGATTTGTGGCTTGTCACATGTGGCCTCAAAATCCAGCACTAGGAAGTAGTGATACCTCTGTGGGGGGAAAGATGACATTGCTGCCATGGAAGCAAAGCCGTGAGACGCCAGTTTCCCGGTTGTAGTGGAACTGTACCCCTGGAAAACACGAAAGGAGCGCAGAGTATTCCTTGATCTTGGGAGACCTCTTGGGAATAGCCCAAGGTGACGCTTTGCTGCTGCAGTACAGACAAGTATCATTGAACACCTACCAGCATCTGTAACTTCAGAGAGAAAGGGGAAAAAAAGAAAGTGTTACTTCAGCAACACATACTTTAATTCACTAACATAATAGATATACAGATTCCACTTCAAATTTGTGTAGAGAACTGAGATATAGCTCATTAGCCAAGCATTTATTTTAATCATGTATATTCTGTTGTTTAGTCAAAGTTCCCACAAAAACGAGTAGAAGCAGTCTAATGCAGTAAATCAACCAAAATATCAGTCAAAACAATCAGAACAAAATGGCAGCAAAAAATGGAAACCTAAACACTTTTTATATGTTACTCCCCAAACGGTTGACATATCATCACTCAAAACCCCATTTTAACATCACCAAAAGCAAAAGAGACAGGGTTTTAAAAGAACATAGAAGGACAACTACTACCAACAAACTCTGCAGGGTGATGCCATGGCTGATCTGTTTCAGACCTCATTTTAAAAAGCAATGACTAGAGCAATGTGAGATAGTAGACAGAGTGCTGGATATAAATGAGAGAGACACAGATCCAAAACCCCACTCAGCTATAAAGTTATTCTCAGTTTAATTTTCCTTCAGGAGATTCAGTTTAAGGATACAATGCATGGAAGACAACATCTGCCACACTAAGCACCTTGACATGGGGCTAATTGTTACTAATGCTGCAAGCTCTTAGGAAAAGACTGTGTGGTATTTTAAAATTACACAAATGCAACAATAGGAAATACACTTTAAAAAAATCAAACGGACACCTACTTTTGTTGCTAAAATCCACTTCTTCAGGCGTAGGCACCAATATTTTATGGATAATGCAAAAATTGCAAATAAGAGTCCTGGGACAACAATCTGCCATGAATTTTTGGGACTCTTGTTTACATTTTTTCTGCACTGTCCATAAAATATTGGTGCATAATGCTGAAGAAGTAGCTTTTATCCATAGAAGTTTACTGTTTGTGCGATATTTTATTAGTCTAATAAAGGAATCGCCTATTGTTATATAAATGCAACTAATGAGCTGATATTAAATCATGCTGATCAACTAATGCCTTTAGATCTAGTTAAATATACTGCAGGCATGTAGCCCCTACAGTAACTTATAAAACCAGTATTGAAGATAACAACAGACTTATCCTAGGGCTTAAAGTTCTTAAAACCACTCATGCCACCCCCAAAATAAACACACGTGCAAACTTAAGATCACAACACTCAGCTCTCCACTTAGAAACTAATATCCTTTTGAAAATGCATGATCCTCAGCACTTTTCTTAAGATAAGGCTGCAGATTGGCACAGTTTCCAGCATCAGTGTGCAACTGAATATCAAACAGGCTTTGTACTCTTTGACCACACAAGTTGAGACCTAACTCAAAATGAAGAAACTAACTTTCCTAAGCCACTATAAAGACTGTGTGATTAGAATGTCAAACAGTATAATGTGCATGAAAACATTCCATGCATTTACATTTTGGACCAAACACATATTCAGTATAAGTTGGTTACATCTACCATTCCCTACTATACTGACTTGCATATACTAGCATTCACATAGGCTACCAAATAGGTATCAGTGTTTACAGCTGTTCACTGTTCTTGCTATAAAGATGATCCCTCAAAGGGGAAAAAAATAATCAACTTGATAGTTATTCAGCATTTACAGCTTTTTACTATTCTTTCCATAAAGATGATCCCTCAAAGGGAAAATATGCCCTGATAGCTAACTGCTGGTGACTTGCCTCTACCCCCACTAACGGAGGTTACCTATAGTACAAAACTACAGAGTCATAGACCTTTCTTGCATTGCCATCTGCATTATTAATGTCTTCCTGCTATAAGAAGGAGAAGGAAACACCCTTTGGAGACTATTAGGCAGAGCAGGAAAGATGTACACCAAAGAACAAAGAAAGGCAGAATACTTGCCTGTGAACATTATGGGTTATTTTTACTATACCCACTAACTGCTCCTCTGTATTCATTACTCCATCAGGTAAATAACTCACATGTCAAAACACACACTTAATGAGGTAAATAATATGCCTTAAAGAACAACTAATACTGTATTTACCTGAGAGACCAGCAAGGAACCAGATTAGAAGATAATTGCAGATGAGCAGGTCAGGTAAATACACATTTTGTAACCTTTGCACAGAAGGATTTTTGGTTAGAAATACACACTCACACTGCTCATGGATCAGTAAGAGACCACCAGGCCACTCATCAAGAATAAATCTTTATGAAAAAGATTAGTTCACAGGACACTATAGTGTATTAACATGGTAAGGGGAGGGGGAAGTTGAACACCAGAAGTGAAGGATGTTGTTTCCATAAAGCAGCGGATCAAGCCTCAGAAACTGGAAGGCCAAGCTACAAAAGTAATAAGCAGCTGCCCTTGTAGCCTAACATTATACCTATTCCTTGCCATAACTACCATCTTTCCATCTACTGCTTTTTATTGTCATTAATAAATGCATTACAGCTGAATAGAAGTTAGTAACAGTCACTTCGAACCCATCATGGAGTAACACATATTCCAGAAAGATGCCTTTTAAATCTGCAAAGCTGCCAAATAGTGTAGCTGCAGGGCTATCAGGCAGATGGAATGCTCTGTAGTGAAGGGCTTCTCAAATATTTTACTGTGGCAGACCACGCTAACTACCCACGGTAACTCTTGTAAGCAAGCAAGGAACACACCTACTGTAATAAATGGACACAACCACTATAAGAAATACATCCAATAAACATAACAAACTCTTCCCATTCATAAACATATTAAAACTACAGAAACTGGGTAAGGATTTCATTCAGTTCGTTTCCTGCCACCATCTTTCTAAAATTTGACCATTTCTTTATTACAGTGGTGCCTCGCATAATGAGCGCACCGTTTAACGACGAATCCGCATAGCAATCTATTTTTTGGGATCGCTAATGCGATCGCATTGTGATGTTCTGAATGGGCAAACATCGCATTGCGATCTTCGCATTGCGATGTTTTTAGAACAACTGATCGGCGGTTCCAAAATGGCCACCGGGTGCTCAAAATGGCCGCCGCAAGCATTTTCGCATGCTGCCCTCGCTTACCGAGGCGGCGAAAATGGCAGCGCTATGGAGGATCTTCGCTGAACGGTGAGTTTGGGCCCCATAGGAACACATCAAACGAAGTTTAATGCATTCCTATGGGGGTTTTAGTTCCATTTAGCGACGATTCCGGATAGCAATGATTAATCCGGAACGGATTAACGTCGCTATGCGGGGCACCACTGTATTTTGTCAGAAATGACTTGAAATTAAAAAAGAAATTAAGCTCAGTGTGGAAGAAAGCAAACCCAACAAAATCCATTTGCTGAGTCAGAGGCTTTCAAGTCCTTAAATCTTTAAACTCTGGATTTCAACCCATGTATATTCAATCACATGGTGGCGCTGCAGGTTAAACTGCAGAAGCCTCTGTGCTGCAAGGTCAGAAAACCAGCAGTCGTAAGATCAAATCCATACGACAGAGTAAATGCCCGTCGCTTGTCCCAGCTCCTGCCAACCTAGTAGTTCGAAAGCATGTAAAATGCTAGTAGATAAATAGGTACCACCTCGGTGGGAAGGTAACGGTGTTCTGGGTCTAGTCGCACTGGCCACGTAACCACGGAAACTGTCTTCGGACAAACACTAGCTCTGTGGCTTGGAAACAGGGATGAGCACCACGCCCTAGAGTCGGACACAAGTGGACTAAATGTCACGAGGAACCTTTACCTTTACCTATATTCAATCATGTTTATGGTGCTAAATTAGGACTTCCATTCCCCCCCCCAAGTTCTGAATTTAACAGCTAGGGCAAAGGGGTATAACATGATCACTACTACACTAAAAACAGTAAAATTAGGCATTTCACATAGTTTGTTTCTAATAACCATCTACCGAATTTCTTCACAGTTCAACAAAAGGACCAGCAGATTTTAAAATTCTGACTGTGAAAGCAAAATGTCATTATCTCAACATTTGCAATAATTATAGAAGACTGCAGAATTTCATGATCTTCCACAGTCATTGCTTCTTTCTTGAAAGCAAACTGTGCGATAACAAACTTGTCTGAAACTGCAATCAGACAAGCATTTATTGCACTATTTGGATTGGGGACAGGCTGGTCCACTCCTTTTCCTGGGAAAAAGGTGTCATTACAAACCCACTTGCCCCTGATGGATGCCTGCCTGCACTTTGTTGGGTCCCCATCAGAAGTTACAGTGTTTTTGGTGTGGGAAGGGTTTTGATTCAGTTTCAGCATGTGTTCAGTTTCAGCATTGGAATCAAATCAAAGCGGCTGCCCAACTGACTTTAGTGAAACCACTTAACGATCTTGAGAACTGGAAAGCTTCCTTTCCACTCACCTGCAGAGGGGAAGGGAAGTACTGCATTTATTCTTAATTATTGCTAACACATCAGCAATGCTTTGCAAGGGCTTTTTTAAAAAGTTCTTTGAAATCACCACTGACGTGCTATGTAGATTAGTAACAAATAAAAATACATGGAAAGCTTTGCCTCCCTTCCCCTCCACAGAGGGTGGAAAGAAGCCTCCCGTTTCAAGATTATTAAACAATTTAGACAGAAAAAGGAGACAAGAGGATGATTTTTCCCCTTTTAAAGGGAAAGACGATGAGAGAAAAAACCCTTTCCTACTCTTCATCTGCACTCTGCTTAAGCCATTTAACGATCTTGAGAAATGAGGAACCTCCTTTTCTTTTAAAGGGGAAAACTGGTCTCCGTCATGTTAAAACAGCCTCAGTTGAAGTGCAATGTGGTCGATCCTTGCATATGAATGCAAGGATCTCCCTGAATGACATACTGCACCTCAAAGTGACCCTGTTTAGAGCCATCTAGATCAGTGATTTCCAACCTGGGATACATGTAGACCCAGGGATACAAATCAGGACATTTAAAGCTACACCAAAAATTGAATAATGGCAGGGATAGGCACATACGTTAACAGTGTAAGACAAGATATAAGTCAAAAGTTGTGACATTAATTGAACGCTATGATGAATGA